GGCCAATCTCTCTGGCATCTCTTCAGCAGAGAGACTGAGGATATCTGAGGCCATCCACGAGGCATACATGGAAGTCACTGAAGAGGGCACTGAGGCAGGTGGCTCAGAGGTTGTGCCTGGAGACATCCAACATTCCTCTGAGTTTGAAGAGTTCAGGGCTGACCACCCATTCCTTTTCTTGATTAAACACAATCCAAGCGACATGATCCTCTTCTTTGGTAGATATTGTTCCCCCTAAGGAGAAAAAGAGCTGGAAGTAATGCTTTCCTACCCCTAAGAAACAGATCCTCTTTAGTATTGTAGTATAATCTCATCTCTTCACTATCACTAAGTGGGAAGCCTTAAATATTTAGGGAGATATTCCTGAAGAAGTGTGTGACTTTTCAGATCTCTGGGTGCAGATATTTCTGCTTACACAAGTTGTACTTAGGACTTACATCCAGGAATAAATGAGAACTCCAAGAGGTAGCTTAGAAGTATTTTCCATCCTGACTGAATAACTTAAGATTCAGGACCAGAGTTTTGATTCTTGTGAGAAATTCTGACACTGATATTGAGAGTCTGTTTTTTCTATACGAGTTCTCTGAAATAAACACAGCTTTTAGAATATTCCTGTTCCTTTCTGTTGAACTCGTTGGGCAACCACCCTTGAATTGATGCCTGGACAACTTGCAGATGAAATTCATTATTTCAGCAAATCGTTCTTCTTTGAGTAATGCATCTGTGCCTCCTTGTGCTGCACATATTGTAAGGCTAGGGTCTCTTGTTCTGAGGGGGCATGCAGAAAGTTTACCACGTCTTCTTAAATCATAATCTCCAAACACAAAACCTTCCTTACTGATACAATTTCCCATCTTCATTTCTGTGACATGTCATTGATTTTGTGAATGTCAATTGTTGGTCCTTCTATTTATTCTAATAAAAGCATTGCAAACTAAATATGTCTCTACCTGTTCTGGGTTACCACACCAAAATATATGATGTAGTGGGTCGTGGTTATTAACAGAATGCATTTAGACTAGGATGCTATTTTCAAAACCAGAATGCACCCATATATGAAGACATTAAAAAGCTTAACATTTTTTTTCTAAAATTCTGAGTTTAAGCAAGGTAAGCCCTACAGCTCCTTTTTTTACCTTGTGCTCATCTCCATATGATATATCAAACAATTCAGCTTTTTTCATTTGCTATTGTATTTCCAAATAGTTTAAAAAGATTTCCTCTAGTTGCTTTCAATAAATACATTGAGGTGATGCCTAAGAGATACAACTTCAAAAACATGAGAAAAGTATTTTTCGTAAAAGGTGGACTGCTTCAGCTATCTAATACCCACAAGAACCATGCAAGGAAATCTTTGTTGCTGCCTTTTGATAACATAATCCCCTAGAGATATTATTTCCTATTTCAGAGTCTTTAGGGTGAACGTTCTTCAGGTTGCAGTTATCCAATTGAAAGACTTATTAGTGTTAATCATTGACTTAAGCAAATCTTCCTTCTGTTGGCATACATGTGCAGAACTGCAAATCGCAGTACTTAAAAAGTGCTTAAAAAGGGAGACACTTGGCAGTATTTGGAGCTGTCTCAAACATTTTAGAAGTAAGTATTAAATATAACTTGAAATTATGATGCTGGCTACAGGGAAACATATCTTGGCTGCTATGAAGCCTATGGAAGAACTGCAAATACTGGTCTTCCCAAGACAGTTATAAGAGATTAGATACAGTTAACAGAAATATTCAAGTAAAAATGTATTCTTATTTATGCAATTTCAAGGTTTACTATGCATATCATGTTCTGCTTCCCATAAAACCCAAGGCAGTAAGGAGACTTTTGATACAACTAAAACAAAAAGGCAGGATTTATAAAATACTGTTCAAAGAAGCAGAGAGTAAAAGTTTATAAACAATTATAGATCTGTTATTAAACTGAAACAAGCACATCTGCCACTCTGCACTTTCGGGGTACAATGAAAATAAAATTGATATTTATTGAATGATATAAAGTGAATATAAAAAATAACTACTCTCTTGTTTAATTTTTCCATTGCTTGATGATTATTTTAAAGAAAAGAAATGGAGAAAATCAATGGTAATGAAATGAAAATGAATGAAACGGTAAATGGTTTCCTAAAACATATGAGAGAGGTCCACCTAATGTCCTCACTGTGAAACAGAATTATTTGGCTTATTTTACATCGGGCCGTTAGGTGTCACTAGGGATACAAAATGATGCCTCAAGTCTTCTGTCAGAGAGACATCTGTTGAAATCTAGGTCTGCAAGCTTAATGTAGGTTCCAATTTTGTTCTTAATTTTTGTGCAAGCAGATGATTATGATCAGTATACTGAAAATGTAAACCAGAGGCACTGGGCTTGAAACCCAGTAATTTTTGAAGACAAAGACAGAAATATTATTCGGTGAAATATCATAGGCACTTCAAGACTTCTGTGTCCTGGAAAATATATCATGGTCAAACACTATAGAATGGATAGAGCTGTATTGTTTATGAAAGAGAAGCCATCCCCCAAAGAGGCTAAAATGAGAGGTTAAAGTGCAAATTCAGATGGGCTGAATAAGATCATATCTCTGTATCAATGTCTGGGCCCAGTACTGCTCTTGTGCATTGCTGGTCTGGGCTGGCAGGAAGGCTCTACCATGGTCAATGGGGCTGCTGCAGCTCCCATGGGAAGCAATTCTGAAAAGACCAGCGTGGAGTATATTACAAAGAGATGAGGGAAGAGCAGCCATAAAGAGAGCAAACTCTGCCTGCTGTTTCCCAGATCTGAAGTCTGGCAAGAGTTTAATAACAAGAATCCCAGCTCCCACAAAGTCTGAGTATTGTCCTGCAGTCCTGCCTGTTGCTCCCTGGCAGCATCATTGAAGCTCGTATGTCAATCTGTCCATTCACTACACTCCATTTTCACTATGTGCCATGTTGTTCTGGATTTACTGTACTGCTAGGGGTCTGTGGAACAAAAACAGATACACGCACAGGACAGCATTTGAAATGCTGTGTGAGCGAAGTGTGCCTTTCTTTCTCATGCCATTTAGGGAAGGGCTGGAGACAACATATCTTCCCTGCCCTTTGAGGAATATAAATTTCTGAGACCATTCCACATCCCTCTGCATATATGAATTATGAGAGAGGCTTACCATCTCCTAAGCAAATCAAATCCATGTCTGAAAGCACAAGATTTAGCAGGCGTTATGTTATAACCAGTCACTAGAAGAAGTGCAGAGAACCCCCTGGACTCCGGGGCAGAGCTGTCCTGGGCTCCCAAATGGTATTTGAGAAAGCACAGAATGCTGAATCAAACTGAAAGCTACAAGTTTGCTAGAAAGGCTTTGCCACAGAGCAGGGCATTCTGTTTCTTGTGGCTAGTGAGCTAAGATTTATCAATAAGGAAAAGGGACGGCAGAGAGGGGACTGCCAAAAAAGCAGCAAGGATGGGGCTGCTTGACAAGCTCTGGGGATCCAGAGCAGAAGGTGACAAAAAGACCAGAAGGGCAGGGGCTTTCCCCATATGATATTAAATGCTGCAATTCCCTACACTACCGCTACAGTCCAGTGATTGCCAAACAAGCCTGTGGTGATGAGGTAGGTCAACTATCAAGCCTGCAGGTTAAATCCACAAATCAGGGTCTGTAGAGCTCCTATCCAGAACACTATAGTACACTGAGGAGTTAGCGACCACATAAAAATGGATTGGATCAGTCTGATCAGTGTGCACATTTTGTGCTAAGTTGTGCTGTACATACTGCTTGGTGTCCAGGACTACACAGTGCTGAACATATCGGGTGGCTGGGGGCTAAACTTCTTCTGCTAACCATAATGGAGAACCTCACAGATGGTCCCAAATTGGCACCCTGTGATGATGCTGCCAGTGTATCCTTGTCTGTATCTTGAAGTGAAGCAGCATTTTTCTGTATATTTTCATTCATCAGTAGAAATGATAAACACAACATACCTATAAAAGTGTAAAGATCACACCACCAGTGAATTTCTGCATGCATATAATATGCACAGTGTGCTGTTCCCGGAATAAAGACCCATCCAATGCTGCACCACTTCAGAATCCAATCACTGGAAGGGACATGAAATTGTTTATGCTCTCTCCTTTCCCCCTCTCTTGTAATTTCCAATAAAATGCACTTTAATTTTTCTTACTGGTGTCCAAAATGAACACTTGCAGTGCTCATCTTGCTGAGGTTCATGGCCAGGCAAAGGCATGCAAACTAGCAAGGACCAGTCAAGACACTCCACTTAAAATCTTCTTCCTGCTGAGGGGTATGTAGACCCTCATGGAGGCATCTCACAGCCCTGCCACAAACAGTGCCCTGATTCAAGGCTTGGAGGCTGCTTGCCATGTCCCTGAGCCCATGCAGTCAAACTCCTAGGAGAGGGATGATCTCAAGAGCAGAGGTTTCTGAAGTCCTAGGTGTTGTGGAGGCAGTGACAGAGGTTGGTTATTCGGTACACCTTCTAACACAGGAACTTAATGACATTACAAGAGGCTAGTAGAAAGCAGTTAAAAGCGGACAAAACCAGCAAATAGATGACAACAAACAGCTGAATTATAGAATTAATGGTCAAAGAATGCAGAAGATAATAAAATTTCACATGATTTTAAAGGGTAACTGGACAAAACCATGGCAGAGAAATCAATTGAGAGGTAATAAATATATAGAAAATACTACCAGCTATTTAAGTTCCAGGACTGACAACTGCCAGCGTTAGGACTCTGAGAGCACAAACAGCTTCAGCAGATTTCCCCAACACCCCCTGCACATGCATCTGGAGTCTGTATTGGGCACTGGCACCATTTGTGAGAGGGGGACAAAAACTGTCCTTGGCCAGCTGCAGCAGACCCTGCAATGAATGAAAACAACTCATTGCATGCCAAATGTCCAGTCAGAGAATCATACTGCACCTCTGCTCGAGTGTAATTAAGAAAGAGTGGAGAGAGACATGTGAGAGATGTGCTTGGAGAAACAAAAGAGAGAAGGCATGGGGATGGTAATATGAAGGGGATGTTATGAAGAGCTCAGCTGAAGGCACACTCTTAGGAGTCACCTCTGGGACATTGGAGCTACAGGCAACTCATACCAGGGCAGTGACACTCCAGAGGGACTGCAGCCTACTGGTCACTGATGCTGAATCAAGGACATCCCTGTGGAACTGCAGCTCCTGAAGCAGACTAAAGCACAGGATATAAGTGAGCAGCAACATCTGGCACACATAAACAGTTATGCAGCAATCACAACCTCTTCCATTGCTTGCTGCTTCACCAAAGGGACCAGTGAGCACTGAGTGTAACAAGGAAGCTGAAACTAGTAAGAATAAGAGAAGACTTTGTATTGAAATGTGGGGAAGCAGGATAAAAGGTCTGTTTGTGTCGCAGTTTGTTACATTGATTTTGTCAGCTCCTAAATAAACAACAAAAATTTAATGTTAATCAGCAAGAAATTAAGTGAAACTCGCCATGTCAAAGCTGTTGCCCACAACAGAAGCCTGTTTCAGCCTAGACATAGCACTGAAGTACACTGCAGGCTCCTGTCTCCAGTTCTACCTCCTGATAGACCTCAGTAACCTTGTAGCCTTGTCTCCAGGCCCATCTCTTTTGCTCATAAGTGTATGACAGAGCTCTGAGCACCCTAATGAATTTGCAATAGTCCTGCTCAGCCATACCTGGAGCCTCTCCCACACCTGTGACCCCAGGAGCTCTAAGCTATGTGCTGGACTTTCAGTTCCTGTCTCTATTACATCAGTGATGTATCGGTCTCCAGTTCAAACAC